TAATAATACCCTTTGGAAGCTTTCTTCAATTGCCTTTAGTTATGTCTTCATTTCTCATATTAATTCACCTAAATCACAATTAAATCAAATAATCACATAACTATAGTATGACATTTATTTAATTAGAATAAGATGATACATATTTAATTCATCCAAAGTAATAAAATGACTATGAGAAAATAAATATGAAAGCCTCACAAGACACCTAATCGAAGAGTGAAGGCTAGTCATTATTTTATTGCCAATGATAGAGCAACCACACCTTTAAGGAGCTATCATTATCACTTGAATTTTCACATCTTTTTTCTTGTTCTTTCCTTTTTCAGTTTGTTTTTTTCCTTCAATAAAGAAAATCCAAAAATAGTTTATATTTTAGCATTTTAAATTCAAGTCTTTTGGTTTTAGTCAATTCAATCTCACATATCTACTTGTTTCTTTTAATTTAAATCTCTTTCTTGTACCTTGGACTTTTAAGAGCTCCTTGAGAGATTGACCCCGTTGGCTATGATACTTCATTAGTAGTTTAGCTTGGAATCAAAATTTGAGGTCGAGGCAATTAGGCTATGTTAATATACATAATAGTCCACACTTGAATCATTGAAGTGATTGGTGAGTTTAAGTGAAGAGTAGTTCATCCATGCATGGAACATGCTTGTCCATGTTTGAATGAGAGATCTGATAGCATTTAATAAACTTCACGAGAAAAGTATTTTTTTAATCATAGATCACTTCTACACATGTATAACAGCTATATTTTGCACCTTATGAGTTCCAATAGTCTTAAACCATAAAAATCTATAAATAGGACCTCATTTGAATTAATGAATAATGGTCATATAGATTAAACACATACATTTGCTTTATGTCATCAATTTTTCACTGTGGTCGTGTAAAAAGCACTCAAGCTAATTTATAGGCTAAAATTGTTATATATAGTCTTTGAGATAGTTTCTAAGTGTTCTTAATAGTTTCCTCGATATCACTTTAAGAGAGAACTAGATAGGAAAGTTTAATATCTATTATTAAAGAGATTCAAGGATAGATTTTCTTAGTATGTTGATAGAGTGCTCACTGTCTTAAAGTGAAGGATTAAGGAAACTCACTATGAGTGAGATACTATGTAAATGGCTAATAAGTGAGGTAGCAAGCACCAGTTGAATCTTGTGTGATAGTGAAAAATCTCAAGTGTGAGCTTGAAAACTGGGTGTAGGCTAGGGTGTCAACTAAACTAGGATAAACTTACTATGCAGTATCTCTATCCCTAATCTCTTTAATTCAACTCTTTTATGACTCTGATTATCTTCTTGACTATAACAATAAAAGAATTTAGATTTTTCAAGTGCTTGAATTCCATAACTAAAGCTTTGAAGGTTTCTCTTTGACTTATGTCACTAAAAAGTTTTAGTTGTAGCTTAAATTGTTTTTCAAATCATAAAAATTTTAAGAAAACCAAAAATTTTCTAAACACCCAATTCACCCCTCGTGGGTATGATTGTCTTACCTTACAAAAGATAATATTTTGTTAGTTCCAAAATGTATGCGTAAAATTAAATCTTTTCATAAACAAAACACGGTTGGTGTGCATTTAAAGTTGGCATTACAAAACCTTGAACTCTATTTTGGTTTATCCTCTTTCTTTGTATCACATTCTAATAAAATCCTTTTGTCACAAGATCACTATGAAAATAACTAATTTTTTCTAGGATCATGGCAGACCTAATGATACTATTCATCTTTTGAATTGTGATGAGGTTCATTGTCCTAAAGATGGGGGAGATTTAAACATAAGAGACATTAATCTTTTTAATCAAGCTCTTCTTGCTAAAACTTCCTAGAGAATTATTGACAGACCAGATTCCTTATTAGATAAGGTGTTTAGCATTAATAATAATTTACAAGACAAGGATAATTTTACCTTTTCATCTAAAGCAAGTGCTTTGCCTGCTTGGAAAAAAAAAATTAGCTACTAGTGTGATGTGGTGTTTCATAATCTAAAGTAGATAGTAGGTGATGGTAAATCGATTCCTTTAAAAAGTCAGCTTTTTTGGCCTTGACCACAATCAGATCTTTCCCCTCACTAGAACATTTTTTGTTTTAGGCAACATTTTTAATTGCAATAGTTCTACATGTGTTGCTTAATATGGGTATAAGCAATGGTTTTTGTGTATTGATATTGATACATACTTTAAGCAACAAGTATTTGGAAACATTTGAAAATTATTCCTTGAAGTAGAATAGCCAACAGTTTTCAAGTATTGAAATAAAATTTTCAAATAGGCAACATAAAAACTAGGGAAAATGACAGAAAAATCTATTTAAATTATGTAAATGACAGATTAGTCTCATAAAATGGCATAATTTTCCTGGAGTCCCATGGGACTTTTTTATCATCAGGGAATTAAAGAGAATGACCAAATTACTCTCAAATAAAAAAATCCTGAAAGTTGTGAATGACTATTGAATTGTTGTAAATTTAAAAATAAAAGTTGTTAATATAGGAATACAAGTTGTGAATGAAAAGTTGCGAATGTTCAATACTTGAGTCCCATAGGACTTTTTTATCATCAGGGAATTAAAGAGAATGACCAAATTATCCTCAAATAAAAAAAATCCTAAAAGTTGCGAATGACTATTGAATTGTTGTAAATTTAAAAACAAAAGTTGTTAATATAGGAATAAAAGTTGTGAATGAAAAGTTGCGAATGTTCAATACTTGATGCATATCAAAACCTGGATATGCAGAGTTGCGAATTTAAAAACAAAAGTTATTAATATAGGAACAAAAGTTGTAAATGAAAAGTTGCGAATTTTTAACATCTGTTGTATATCAAGTCTTGTAGATACAGAGTTGCAAATGACTATTAAATTGTTGCGAACTTAGAAATAAAAGTTGTTAATATAAGAACAAAAGTTGTGAATGAAAAGTTGCAAAATTTCAACACCTAATGTATATCAGGACTTACAGATCAGGATTTGCGAACAGCTATTAAATTATTACGAATTTAAAAATAAAAGTTGTTAATATATAAACAAAAATTATGAATGAAAAGTTGTGAATCTTTTTAATATGAATGAAGGGAAAAAGTGTCATTTCCTATAATTTCCTAGTGACAGAAACATTCCTTGGGACTCCAGGAGAATTTTGCCATTTTGTAAAACCAATATGTCATTTACATAATTTAAATAGATTTTTCTGTTATTTTCCCTAAAATCTATTGCCTATAATGACACTTTTATCGCAACATTTTAAAATTGTTCCTTATTCTAGTAGGCAACAAAAATAAATGTTGCTTATAAATCTTCTTTTGACAACATTTAAAAACGGTTGCCTATAGTTTTTCTACTAATAAAAAATATTTTTTTTGATAACTTATCTATATTCTTTTATTTGTTTAGTTATTTTATTTTTTTAATTATTTATTTGTTAATTAGAAAAAATAAAATTTAATTTAACAATTACATAGATATATATGTATATATAATATTTTTGTATTATAATAATTAAAAGTCTTGTTGAAAGAGTAGTTAGAGCCATCTTATCACTTCAATTGATTCACGGTTCCAATCCCATGTGAGGAAGGGATATTAAATTTTGTTTACTTAATATTTTTGCAAAAATTCTCAAGTGTCACCTTATATAGTAGGCAACAAGCAAAAGTTGTTGCTTATTTTAACACCCCAAAATCATTGTCTATTGTCCTATCGTAGGCAACAATTTTACAATTTGTGGCCTAAAATATGAAAAAACTTATATGCAATGGTTTTCCAACCTGTAGCAACGGTTCTTGGCTGCTGCCACAGATAAAAAATGGTGTAGTGCCTCTTATCCAAAGAGTAGAAGTTCTTATATTGAGCCCTCAAATTACTTGGACTCGACAATTAATCCTTTCTTTATACCATCCTACTATTGATTGCTTCTCAAATTTTGCAAACACCACCATTATCTGTAGTCAATCAAGAAGATTCTTTGGTCTGAACCATTAGTTCTAATGGTAGATATTCAATGAAGGAGGGATATAATTGGTTAATGGACACTAATTGTAACCAATACTTTAATCCCGCCTTTTCACAGAAAGTATTTTGGAAATTACAATTACCTCCCAGAATCAACTTGTTGTTTTGGAAAATTTTGCGAAGTTCCTTACCTACAACGAATTGCTTAAGGTTACATCATCTAAATGTAACGGAAGTGTGCTGTTTTTGTAAAAGATTCTACTGTATCTTTAGATCATATTTTCCTTTTTTTGTCTATTTGCAAGAGCTGTTTGGTTTGGATCTACTTTAAATTTGAGAACATCTGTGGATTCTAATGTTTCCTTGGATATTTGGATTAGACGATGGTTTTCTTTCTTCTTGGAACATGAGAATAATCCTACAAATTAATAGTTTTGTCCTACCTTTTTTCATCATTGATGCTAAATGGAGCTGCGGGAATCTTCAGTGTTTTAATAATGACCATAAATTGCCAATGGATACTATATTGATGGCACAGAAAAATTGTGCCTATTTTGTCTATTGCAATTAGTTTCAGGATGCTCCACACTCAAGGATGATAACTCAGGGCATTTCTACAAAGCGACGTCCCTGGAATTTTAATGCTGGCATACTTCACATGTCAAATGCTTGGAAAATTTATTGTTCAGATAAGAAGAATCGAACTTCCAGAGGGACTCAAAAGCTTATTCTCTTCAATGATTGTCTTTTACATCCCGGAGAGACGAAAATTTGAGGAAAGGATTCTATCCAATTAATTCTGGAAATGGTACAATATGGCTTGCTGTTCATCAGCAATCAGACTTGGATTTCATCTCCATCATCATTTCCTGATTATCTTTGTAACTAAAGCCTACTTATATTCCTGTTTTCCTTGGTTATAGTTCTCTACCATATAGAACTCAAATACTTCAAAAGGATATTGGGAGTTTACTCCCAACTTATCCTCAGTTATTTGTATCTTTATTTAAATTTAATATATATTTGCTTTCTACCGAAAAAAGAAAAAAGAAAAAAATAAAGAAGAAGCTATGTATGATGATCATCAGACATTGAATTGCAGGTGTGAAGTTTGGGGCTGTGAGTTGATGTCCTTGGCTTTAAAAGCGGAGCAATGATCGTCTACGGTAGCCTTCCATTCACAATTTGACTCGCTACTGTTCTTCTTGTTGGCATCCTTGTACATCATGTATAATACCATTTGAGCTACTCCAAACAAAAATCCCAGCACATTCGGTAGCTGATCAATTAATCCACCATTTGCAAAACTTCAATTTGTTAGTTCTCAACACATTTACACACACGTTATATATGACTATCAAACATTAGATACTACTAAATAGGATAAAGTGTATACCTTTAGTCCTCTAAATTTATGCAAAGTTTCATTTTAGCTTTTTAATTTTACAAAATATCTTTCAGTCATTTAATCATACTACTGTAAGTTTTTTAAATATTAACAAAGTATTCTAAAATTTTGACATATTATTAAGTTTAATTTTTTTGAAATAATAATGATTGTTACAAAAAATAATCATTTAAAAATAATATTATAGTAAAATAACTAAAAAGATACTTATAAAATTAAGGGATAAAGCAGAAATCTTATACAAAATAAAAATAAAAAAAAAACTAATATTGTACTTCAACCCAACTAAAATAGCTACGAGGCCATATCTCCAGTTTAGGATTTTTACATACACAAGGCTCAAATTTAAAAACTTAATTAAGTTAATCTCTTTAATGTGAATAAACATGCATGAAGGCATATACATATGCTCACCATGATGAAGTAATCTTTGCTGAAGAAGCCATAGAAAAACCACATGGTGGCACAGAGGGTGAGAAAAAAGGAAAGAGAAAATGGCATGAACTCTACGCTTTTCGTTTTAATGACTCTCCTCTGCGGAAGCACAATGGCAACTTGTCAAATATAAGTTATATAGTTATATATATATATATATATATGTATATATGAAATGCTGATGAATATATATATATATATATATATGTACACGTACCATGATGCTTAGAGGAGCAGCAAAGACGGCGATATTAAAAATGGCACAGACCCAGCCGACGGCATGAACACGGTTAATTCCCTTAAAAACGAATATGGTAATTATCATGGTCAAAGAAAACCCTCCAACGTCGAAGAACGCTAACATCAACAGCGTCGAAATCTGCAAAGTTAGCAGCAGTAGTCAAACGTAATTATGCTTGGCTTTTTAAAATATAAGGAGTTAAAGGGTAATTTCACCCTTAAAATGTAGGCATAGGAACATTTAATATCCTAAACTCGTTTTTTATATAATATTCTCTTTCAATTTTTAAAAATAATGCAATGTCACCTCTACTATTAACAAAAGTTAAGGTTTGACCATTGGTTAATCAAAAAATTAAGGACTTCAAAAATTAAAAATAAGGACCCAAAAAATTTCCAAAAATGATAAAGAAAATATTTTATAATTTTTTAGTCAACTAACAATTAAAATTGACATTTGTTGATGGTAAAGACAATATTTTTAAAAATTTAAAAGAGAACATTACATTAAAAATAAATTTAGGATTCTAAAGATACTTGAACCTATATAGTTTAGGTACCCAATTTATCGTTTAACAAAAAAAAAACAAAAAAAGCATAGAGAGTGTGTGTGTTCATTAAAATGGGAAATATATATATATATAAATATATATTATATTCCTTGCACCTTCTGTTTCCTTGGAGCATATATGAAGTATAGTATCAGGTAAGTGACTTCGATAGCACAGCCAATACAGTTGATGGTGATAATCAAAATCGCGTGGCTCTTTAAGAAGCCATAATAAAGCAATAACATTGCGCTGAGTAGTGCAACTATATATGGGATTGATTGAAACCCTTCTGATGATTTGTTCTTGTATATTGTGTAGAACGTTGGCCTGCCATTCACAACATAACACATTCATTATAGACTGCAAATACATATAGATACAGTGGTGAGATTATATGTCATTAATGGGATATTTACTTACAAGGGTGCTAAGAACACCAGGAATGAAACAATGTTACCTGCACAGAACAACAATATAGGATGTTAAACAGAGAATCATTTAATTACTCTAGCTTAAAATTCTAACGAGAGGATAATTAATGTTAAAAATGATGGACGTAGCTGGTAATTATTAATCAAGAGCCATTCCATTGGGGATAAAAAAATCAAAAAAAAAAGAAAAATGAAGAAAAAACAAGAGATTGAAAAAAAAAGAAAGAGATAAAAGAAGAAAATTGAATAGATCTAATGACTCTAAGGCTAAAAAATAATACAAGCCCATGGAAGAAGAAGAAGAAAAAATGAAAAAAAAAATTGAGAAAAAATAGTAGTCAGAATATTAGAGATAAATAAGTCAAAGAAATCCCATATCTAAAAATTTAAAGATAGATTAAAAATATATAAAGATTGGGATATATCTAACAAAATTATTTTAATTATTTTGATAAAGTAGATTATTCTTAAATATATTTATTTTGGTGAAGTAAACTATCTTTAAATATACTTAATATAAAAAATTTAACAGTAATGACATACCTAGAAGGCCAAAGATGAAAACCAACTCGTGATCAGAGAAGGAAAACATTTTTGGTAATTACTTTGTGCGACGAGATCGAAGACGATATAGAGAACGATATATGTTGGTTCTAAATACTAAGCAAGGTTGGCTCCATTTATACGTTGGGCCTATCAAAAGTTAGGCAAAAATGGTGAGGTTGATATTGCTTTGCAAAAATATTATCCCTTAGTCCCATATCTCTACGCCCCCCCCCTCTCTCTCTCCATTTTAATGTTTTTCTTTATGTTATGAGGCACTGCTTGTTGGGTGAAAAGACTGAACAATTAGAAATAGGAAAGGAAAGTTTAGGTTTCAAAACTATATATGCGCCGGAGGCCGAGCCACGTTTAGTTTAGGTTGGGCAAATCCCCATCTTCTTCCCTCAACTTTCTTTTATAACTATATACATTGGATTTCTTCCTAATTATCATGCATTAATTATCTATGGAGTCTTACTCACATAATTCATGATCATCATAATTCTATATTTTATATTGAATATTGATATGTATAGGTATGATATAAGTTTTGAGATAAGAGAGAATTTCAATTAAGAATTAGGGGTGTGATTTAATTATTAGTGAGTTTCAAACAATTTGAAACTTCAATTCCGTCCAAGAGGATTGAAGTGAAAATAATTTTAATGAAGAAAAAATTAAAATACCTTTCACTTATTAATTTTGTCTAAGATACAGAATCATTAGTTGTTAATTTTTTTTATTTCACTTGTTAATTTACATATATGAGTTGTAAATTACATGACTTGAACATTAGCTATTCATTCACAAACAACAATATTATTTGTTAATTTGCTAACCAATTTACAAGCATTAGTTGCAAATTAATAACTGATGTAATTTACAACTTATATTGATAAATTTGAATTTAAGAAATTGATAGTAGTATTGATGACAGAAACTGGAAGCCCATTAATCTAACAACTAATAGACCTCCTATCTCACATTTATTCTTTACTGACGATCTATTGCTTTTTGCAGATGCTTCTCTTACTCAAACTAGGATCACTCGTAAATGTCTTAATGATTTCTGTACTGCTTCAGGACAAAAAATCAACTATGATAAATCTAAACTCTTTTATTCCAGAAATATCAATATCAACAAAGCCTTGCAACTCAGCAATGATTTGGAAATTCCTCTTACCAGAAATCTTGGCAAATATCTTGGGATTCCTATTCTTCATGAAAAAAGCTTCTAAGTTAACCTTTGCTCCTCTTATTGAAAAAACTAATTCCCATTTATCTTCTTGGAAGAGCTGTTATCTCAACATTGTAGGAAAATCTGTCCTTATTAAGTCTATGCTCTCTTCTCTTCCTAGTTATATTATGCAGACTATGCTCCTCCCTAAGAATGTCCTTTCTGAATTAGATAAAAGCTCCCAAAACTTCCTCTGGGATTCTACTAATGGAGCAAAAAAACCTCATCTTCTTTCTTAGGACAAGATCACTAAAGAAAAGAAATATGTAGGCCTTGGATTCAAGAAAATTGAAAACCAGAATATTGCTTTCATCATGAAGATTTGCTGGGGTATTATTGCTAAACCCAACTGTCTTTGGGTTCGGATCCTCCGTGATAAATCCCAATTCATCCTCTTACACATGGACTAGTGTTTCTAAAGTTTAGGATACTTTTAATTAAAGCCTATGTTGGTTGGAGAGTGGGAAAGGGAGATCAAATATCTTTTTGGTATGAAAGGTGGTTTCCTGAGCCTCCTGTCATGTATACTTATCTTAAAACTGAAGCCATCCTTCATACCAAAGTCTCTGATTTTCACATAGCTTCAGGTGGTTGGCACATTGATAAATTAAAGTGTTATCTTCCCCCTAATGTCATTAAATCCATTTTGCTTGTCTAGCTGCCAAACCCTCATGGAGATAACAATATTCTCGCTTGGCGACCTTCTTCGGACGGCAACTTCTCCTTCAAATCAGCCTACAAAGCTATTGAGAATCAGGATGGGAATTGCAACTCAAAAATTTGGGATACTATATGGAAATGGCCCACCTACGAGAAGATCAAATTCTTTCTATGGAAAGCAACTTGGAATCATCTACACATGAATTCTAATTCTTCCAATTCTGAATGCCCCTTTGGTTTGCAATTCTCTTGATAACTCCATCCACATTTTGCGTGATTGTACTAAATCAAGGGAAGTATGCAAAAATTCAACGCTTAATATTTTCTTTTCTCTTTTCTTCCAGGATTAGATTCTCTAGAATGCAAAAAACAATGTTGGAAATACTAATACTAGAAGAACCCTTGGGAAGAAATTTTTTTCCATATTTTGTTGGAACATTTGCAAAGAACGCTGCAAATCTATCTATTCGGAAGACCATACTCTAGAAAAAGACATCATTTTAATCAATGACCTTTACCCTCAATCTCAACTTGGAATTATGCAGACAAATCAAGACAGATCTCTTACTAGGTAGATTCCACCAAAACCTGGCTAGATCAGATTGGATACTGATAGTTTGTACTCACCAATGGAAATGCTTTTTGTGGTGGCCTCATCCGTGATGATCTAGGAAATTGGATTAAAGGCTTTACTAAAAGTCTTGGCTATCATCCTACTACTGCTACTGAGCTCTTGGGTATTTTTGTGGGGCTAAATCTTTGTTGGAGGAATAACTTCAAACAAGTTAATGTATACACTGATTCTTTAGAAGCCCTGACACTTGTTTAGTATGACCATAACTCAAATCATCCTCTCAACGATATTATAAAGAAGATTAGATGTCTCACCATGAAGGATCGGGTTGTTACCTTCAACCATATATTTAGAGAATCTAACAAATATGCAGATTGGCTTGCTCGACAAGCTATGAGAGAAAATACAGATACTTTAATTTTTGATGTTCCACCTCTAGGGTGTTGTTTGCTTATAGGTCTTGATTTGACCTAAGCTCTCTTTTGCATGGCCTATTTGTGGCCTTGTATACCAAAAAAAAAATTTATTCAAGTCATATATATATATATATATATATAATATTTAATAGTTTAATTTATTAACCCTAGAGAGATACAAATGTATCTTATTTGTAATTTCTTCTATTTTTATTTTCTTATTCTTTTTATCCTTTTTCATCTATTCCTTATTTATCCCCATAAATTACTTTAGGTTTTCACAAATTGCAAATAAGAATATTATAAAGATTTTTAATCTATAATTGCTAGAAAAAAATATTTTATGAGTATATATTCATATTCTTTTATAAAGTAAAAGTTATAGATTTTATAGTTTCATTGAATAATAAATTTTTTCTTCAAACTATTTGAGCTATTATTCATTGAATTGTTGCGACATCATTAATTTTAGAAAACATTGAATAAATGAGGGAAAAAAAAAATACACATTCAGTAATCAAAGGGCCTTGCTCTGCAAATACCATCATTTATTATGCATTTTTAAGGATTTAAATCCTCTGAATTTGATATCTATGAATTTTACAAAGTTTTCCTTTATTTAGTATTTTTTGTCATTTTATTATTTTTATGAAATATATATTTTTTTTCCTTTTTGTAAAGGCAAAATTGACCGATATTGATTTAATTCCCATTTTAAAATGTAACACCCCTCCACATTTCTAACTCAGTGTCAATATGAATATAATATTTATTTTCGTTGAAGACCTGAAAAAAATAATATTTATTATAAAGCATCTTAAAAATAATTATTATTATTAAGAAAGGACCAAATACCAAAATTTAAATTTTAAAATACAAAATTGTCTGTAATCATATTTTCTATATTTTCTCTAACTATCAAAATCTGAATTTGATAGTTATGTTATAAGCAATGGTAAATAAATAAATTAATGCTGAAGATCAAAGCAGTTAAAAAATTTCTTAATAAAACTCATTGAATATTGCACAACAATAATCAGTGATTATGTTATATAACTGTTGGGTATTATTTCATTTTTATTATTTTTAAAATTTGACCAATATTCAATGGTTGTTTATAAAGAAATTTTGAGTAAAGAGTTTAAATACTCAACATTTTTTTTATAAAAATCATTGAATATTATTTATTCAATGGTTGTGTTTCAACAACTGTTGAATAATATCTTTTAAATTGCTTTAGATTTTTTTTTGAATCATTTACTTGAAACTATGTAAAACTTTTTATTTTCTCTCTAAAAACTAAAATACTCCTGTGGAACTCCCTCCCTAAACTATGAGATGGCATTTTCAGCTAAACCTTTCCACTATTGAAACATCGTTTTTGGGTTGCCGTTGTCAATTTTTCCTTGCACCACCATGGGTTCATTTGTTCATGGGTCTCATGGCATCTTTGTCTCTTCCTTTTCTTCTTCCTCTTCCTAGCTTCGTCTTTCTCTCACACTCCATTTATGGGTAATCTTGCCGCTATGGGTTGTTCTTCTCCTAGCCATTCTCATCGTGGGTTGCTCTCAGCACAAAGAAATTAGTTTTTTTTTTTTTTTACGCCTTAAAGATTTGCAAATGAGTCCTCTAAAGATAAATTGACACAAATTTTTTTTAACCAATGAAAAAAAAATGTAACACTTTTTAATTTAAAATAAATATTTTTTAAATTATTTAAAACATATTAATTTAATTAACTTTAATACTATATTTTTGCTTTTATTTGTGTGGAATTGAAAATCCGAACAACTTTATCTTTAAAATATTTTTTTTGTAATTTATGGAGTACTGTTAATTTTAAGGTATTATTTACAAGGTTTATATTAAGGTTATAATAGTTAATTACATTTATCTAGGTCCTTCAGCCTAATTTAAATTTTTATTATCTTTTATATTAAATATTATTTTCTTCAAGTCCTTAGCAATAATTTCCCCAATAAAATATGTCTGAGTATATAAATAATATGTCACATTTTTAATATCATTAGAAGAATTAAACCTTGACCATTAATTACATCTATTCTTCTACTTATACACACGCAGACACACATAGGTCACACAATTTGTAAATAATAAATAATATGATTTTTCCCCAAATTTTGTGTGATGCAAGAAATGTA